ATTGGATTGCAATGCTCTGATAACATATTTCTGAATAATATGTTGTTGTTTTCTTAAATGTAATTGAAATTAGATTCTGAGGTGGATAGGGATTAAATTCTGGCTTAGCAAGTAATTTACTCCCATGAGTATCTGCTGGTTACATCCTGTTGATGTGAAACATGTCAGCCGGTTTAAAACTGGTCAAATTATTGGCATCAAATGGAAAAACCATCAAATAAGAAACGACTAAAATTACGCTGAAAACCGTCCGCCTCTCTTTTATTAGAAATTATCACACACTCTTACCTTTAGAATCAGTTGTTACATCTGGAAAAAAAATTACACATTTATTTGTTAATAAATCCTTGGTTTTGTTTCTCCAGATCTAAGTTGTAGCAGAAACAATATTAATGACGTCAGCGGCTGTTTTTAACCAACGGCATGTTTCTTTAATTTAGATGTTAATAACATCGACTTACCGCCCACTTCACCATTAAGCTCTACTTCAAACTCGTCCTTTTCCACATCTACAGGGAAATAATAATTAGAGAGGGAAAATTAGTAATGCTACTAATCATCAAAAGTTCACAGTTAAAAAAAATCTAATTTACAGAAATCACTTGATTTTCAACTTCACAGAAGATTTTTCTAATGAGAAACTCCTATGTAAACACTAGCAGCGCGCTAACTAAGGGGCCGAAAATCTGTTGAAAGTACGTTATAGGGCATTTTTAGAGATCAAGAGAGTGAGATTTTCAGCAGCTAACAGGAAGGCTGAGGAGAGTACAGCAACATTTTAAACCTTTGTTTCTGTGTTGGTGCTGGATTTAAATGTTAGCATCAGTTAATATAAGGGATGAAACACAAAGTCTCCCGTTTTATGAACACTAAACATACCTCTATATTCTTAAAAATGTGAATCATAAAACAAAATTTATTAATTTGTCTTTAAAAAGGGAATGAAGACAGAACAATACTTCAAAATCAATAACAGTAATTGAAATTAGATTCTGAGGTGGATAGAGAACCTAAAACTGGTCCTCAAGAAAGAAAACTTCAACATATTTTTACTCAAGTTAAAGTGAAAAATAGCAATAAAAGAAATTATTCAAGTAAGAGTAAAAAAAGTATTTGGTAAAAAGTCAAATTATCAATTACTTAATATTTAAAAATTACATAATCAGACCAAAATGTAAAACTAAGATGATTTTTTAGGTATTTTTAGGACTGAAATGCCAATAATTCATATAAGTAACAAAAGATAACAAAATAAACTTTTTCAAAAATTTGTTTCTTTCAATATTTATGAAACTTTAACAAAAACTGCAGGTGTGTGTCTGTTTATGCTAATTTTATGGTTAAAACAAAAATTTAGCGAGAAGAAAACCCAGAAATTTTACACAAGTTAGAGTATAAATACTTCATAACAAAATTACTCAAAGTACAGTGTAGTTGTTTTTCAGAAAAGTTACAGAGGTAAATAACTGAGTAAATGTAAATAGTTACTACCCAAAATCTAAAGAAATTAATCTAAATTTAAAAAATCTTGCCTTCAGTTTTTTCATCAGACTTGATGTCTTTGTCTTCAGAAACAGCTGAAAGAAGGAAAACAAGATTTTAGATGCAAAAGAACAAAATTTTTTAAAAAAAACAAGAAGTACGAATTAAGTAACTACAAACTTTACTTTGAATTTCATCCTCTGATATTTCGCCACTTTTGGGTTTAGAAGTAGCTGTAAGAAAAAAAGATTTAAAATAAGTAAAAATACGACATAAATCTGTATGAAAGAATTAATTTAAATTTTAATCTTACTTTCTGAGTTTTCCTCTGACACGTCCCCTTGGAGCTCTTCAAACAGATCTGATGGAGAAAAAATAACATTTCAGAAAAACGAAAGTTTGCGGATGTGACAACAATCAGAATATCAACTTAAATATCAAATGTTTTCAATTAAATAAAAGTGAATCTGACCTGCAGCCACATCATCAGAGTCTTCATCGGGATCACCTTCAAAATAAAAGCATTCAAAGTATTCATCCATCTATTGTCTGCATCCACTTATGCTGAGGGTCACGGAGAGTCAACATAATAATTAAAATATAAAGTCAAGGCTGTCTGAATAAATCAAATAGTCACATTATAAACTAAAATAAACTCAATAAGTTCTATTTGCATAATGTGTAAAGTTTCTAGTCTGGTGTTTTAGTCTCAACTTTCCTTTTTTTTGAAGGACGGTTTTGTTTGCAGAGACTTCATAATTAATTTTATTTGT